TCGGAAGGCTTTGTGAATGTGGTCGCATTTCCTCTCCCTGTTTTTCAGGCAGACACGACTCCATGTTCCCGCTGATGGACAACAATGCCTCTGTACCAGACATTTGCCTGGGCCAGTGTTCACTCCAAACCACACGATGTTCCATTTTTTATTTCCAAATACAGTCTTTCCTGATACACCTTTTAGGAGAAGCTATTTCCACCACCAAGGATGAGGAATGAGATTCGTTCTGGCACACTGAACACCGAACACACCAGGCGAGGACACCACAGAAGTGCATGTGGAACCATGTTCACCATGGCATATATATGTAGGGGGTTGTGCACATCCACACCTGTGCATGTGTGTATGTACAATACTCAACTGTATGCAGTCCAGGCACTCTCAGGCAGGTCACTTACCTGGGACAGAAATATACATGTGTGCATAAAAAAAGTGTGTGTGTGTGTTTTAAAATGAATCTCTGTTATTAAAAATAGCACAGCACAGCAAAACTTTGGAGGAAAAATGAACAGTTTGAAAGGATCACAGCACACCCAGAAAGCCTGCCAGGTGGCATGGTGGACGCTGTTACCTATCCGTGGGCTAATCACGTCTCGGCCCCGGCAAGAAGTCCTTCAGAAGTGGCCTGTCCGTGCTCGGCGCGGCATCGACCGCTGTTTTGAGTTTCGAGCTCTTCTGTAAGGCGAGGAAAAACACTGAGATGGCTGCCACATCAGGAACCGAGAGAGCTCTCCCGGACAGCCAAGGGCAAAATCCAGCCGTGCACCGGGAATGTGGGGGCCAGTGCCCATGAGGGCCACTCACCAGGCCCCTCTGAGTGCAAAAGGCATGTCAGATTGACATGGAAGTCTGTGCTAAACTCGGGGCAGCAGGAGGGGCACAGGCCTCTCAGTGTGGGCACCTTCCAGAGGCTCTGCTGGGGGAAGGAAATGATCTTCCTAACAGTGCCCTTCACATGAAAAAGGCTGAGGGATGAAGCCGATGCCCAGAGGGAGGGCCAGGCACGAGAGCAGGGTCTCAGCTGGAAGGGCCGCCTGACCAGCCTGCTCCCAGCGCAGCAAAGGCCAGACTCTGCCAGGAGCACAGGAAGTGCTTCCAGAACCCTGAAGCCAAAAATCCTGCCACACTCACCTGAAAGCTTCTTGAGTGCCAATTTACTAGACAGCTGCCTACACCCCACCCCGAGAACACCAACGAGGTACAGCGTGCCTGCCCGTCCTCGTCCCTCTGTCTCTTTATCCCTCCCTTTCCTTCTGTTTCTCCTTCTCCCTCGGCCCTGTCCCTGTTCCTCTGTCCCCGTCCCTGTCCTTCAGCTCTGTCTCTAATTAAACAGAAGTCCCGTCCAAGACTAGCATCCTAATGATTCAAGGTGCCTCGGCACTGCACGTCAACGGTGCTGGGCGTCTGAACACTAGGATTTTCCAGTCAAACCATCATTAGTTTCACAGTAAAAGGAAGAAAGGATTTTAAAAGGTGAAGAACCTCAAGGTCTGAGTTGCAGAATGTCTTCTGGGGAGGAGGAGGATGAGCTACACAAGAGGTGGCATTGTTGCCCTTTGCAAGGATGGAATTATATATAATTCAATTATATATAAAAATTATTACAGGGATATATATGCATATATATACACACACACACATATATATATATGATGTTTTGCTTTTTAGTAGAATAGATGAAAAGAAAAAAACCCATCCATTTGAAGTACAGTATTTTCACATCAGGACTAGGTCAATGTTCATTCCTCCAAAGTTTTGCAAAAGTCCAGGTAGTTTTACGGCAACATGAGCGTTCGCCTTGTGCGTGCCAGGGACATGCTGGCTACGGGGGCTCTGTGTGAAGGTGTGGGTGTGGGGGTACCTGTTTGTCAGGCCCCGTGTGACTGTGGATCCCATAGAATGCTCAGTGACAACCTTCTCCAAGCAGCAAGAGTATGGCTTCTGCAAAGGTTCAGAAGCAAATCAACTCTTAATAAACCACATCAATAATTAGAGTGTTTATTTTTAGCCCAGAGCTGGCGCGATGGAATCAATTTCATAAGCGCGTCCTATGACTTATTAAAGTGTTCCTAATAATTCCATCCTAAATGTGTTCAAGCATGTAAATAGCAATATAAAGTTATGTAATTTATTCTAAAAAATTCTGATGGCATCAGATTGGAAACGTTTTGATTGTCAATAATTACTTGAACTGAAAAAATGTACTATCCTGTTAGTTAAAAAATAGTGTTTAAAATGCATAGAAGATGAACTGTTCTTTAAAGAAAAAAAAAAGCCTTTTTCTTGCTTTAAGGCATTTTCCTATTAAAAAAACTGCATTGGTAAAACAGTAATACCAAATGTGTTTTCAAAGTATCATTAATTTTGAAGCACACATAAGTGCAGTATTTAGGTACATGCACATACAACTGAAAAACAGATAGAAAATATTCTCTAGACAATGCTTTGCCCCTGAAGTCTTGGCTCTGGATGAAAAAGCTTTGATCTCAGGCAGCTGCCACGGAGGAATGCTGTGTAAATGGCTCTATATGGCTGAGAAATAGGCCACTACAACCATTTAAAGCAAAGTAGAAAACACTTCCTTAAAACAATCAGATGAAAAAATTTTTAAAGAATTTGGTAAAACATTTGACCCAAAACACATCTCTCCTAGCTTTGTCCACAGTCCAAGTGAATCACCAGAGTCTTTTCTTTTCTGAAGCGCTTTTGCAAGGCCCTGCTCATACTTCACTGTGGAGGCCTCAGTTTCCCCGTCTACAGAATGGATTTACAGAGGCGAACGGAGTAACAAGGTCTTGCTACCCATCCTCTACGGGCTGCAGAGAGAAAGACGGCACTGAGGCAACTTTGGTCACCCAGGGGCACGTGTGCCTTAGGAACTGCCACACTCACACCTTCACTTTCGTGTGTAGGAACCACAAGTTTAAAGTGGCGCAGCTCGACACTCTCAGCTGGGCCTGAGTGAAGACGTAGCTGCCCCCTTGAAGGTGGGATGTGATACTTCCAATGGATGCTGAGAGAGAAACACTGGTTAGTGGCATTGATAGAAAACACAGCTCACATGTCCTTTCCACATCTCAAGATACAAGTTATCCCAATATTTCCTGGTGTGGTGGTGGTTATAACAAACATAGGAGACATAAACACCAGAGTGTGTGTTTGATAGCTCTTGATTATTAAAAGTCAGCCCTGTGTTGTCTTGTGACTATAATCCCAAACATGCAAAAAGACAGAAAAGCATCACCTGGTTCCTTCAGAAACTCAGACTGCTGGAAGTCTGAGAAAGCATAAAGATGGTGGACTGCTCAACAGAAAGGCACTGGTTCTTAGTCTGCCAGTCCCAGAAGGTTCAGGAGAGGCCGTGCATATCATTAGACAAGGTGGTAGTGGTTATTTTGACAAAGAGGTTGGAAAATAGAAAGGAATGAGGAAAGGAAAAGAGAAACGAGAACAGACTGTGAGTCTGGTTACATGCCAACAACGTCCCACATACATCAATGCTGCTGCACTACGCAAACTTGTGGCAGGCCAAGACTGCACAACGCGAGTCACATCCGTAATGGTCTCGGCCTCTCTGTCCAGGAACTCTCACTTCCTGGAAGGTAGTGTGCACCTCCCACTCCTGCTGCCACCAAAGGGAAAGGTTCAAAGCCCTGATAACTTTAAACAATTTGTAGTGAAATTGGATGTGTACACTCTCACTAATCTCTCCCCGAGTTTGTGTCAGCACTGACTTTACGAACATGGCAGGTGCAGAAAGGAGAGAATCACTAGGAACTGGTTGCACTGGCGTCAACATTTTAAATTAGCACCAGAGTTCTGAGAAAGCTCACCAGCTCGGATCCCGTTCAATTGTTGGGATTGGTGGAAGTAGGGCGAATGTAGTACCCGCACCATTTCCACTCCAAACCCAGTGGAGGGCTACCTGTTTTCCATCCCTAATAAAGGCCAACAGCTCTTGGAGATCGAGACCACTGGGGCCATCTTAGCTTTCTGGAGTGCCTCTCCACGGCTCCCAGAATGTATGACTTGTCCTCTTCTGCTTCACACTCTCCCTCCCATACTGTCACCTGCACACCACCTGTGCTCTAGGAGGGAGACATGCAACCTGCAGGAACAGCTCCTGCTGTGGCTTCCACCCTCTCACCAGGATCCTTCTTTCTCCCTACGGAGGCTCTCCACCTCCATGGGAAAATCACAAGGGTGAGGGGATGGAGAGTGTGCTCTCCCCGATATCACAGGGGTGAAGGGATGGGGAGCATGCTCCTCCCTGAGATCACAGGGGTGAGGGGATAGGGAATGTGTCCTCCCTGGGAACTCTGGGAAGGGCCAGAGTGGTCTCAGGAAGCTCTGAGTAACACCTACTGGTGTCCTATGCCAGTTTGTGCATTTTGCATATCTCATTTCTTACCTGAATCCAGAATTCAGCTTGTTGGCCTCAATATGGGAGTGTGGAAAATAAGTAGCCCTACTAATTACCAGAATTTCCCAATATAAATGCTAAAGTTTTGAGCCAAATTCACCATCCCTAAAAATAATGCAATTTTACCTTCAAAGTAATGATTAATTAAAAAAACTTTTAGATTTACACAAAATAATTTGTCTTGATATTGGCATAATCTTTCTTAATCTTTTTCTCATTTAGACTGACTAGCTGTTCAGGTCTAAACATTGGTCACCTTAAATTTTACCTAAATTAATGTTTAAAATCACATATCGTGAAATTCCTTAGTAATGCTTAGACTGATGACATTTCCAGCCCAAATCTTTACACTACACTTTATGATGGTTATTTCCCACTCTGAATCTGGGGAGCTACAGTGCACCATGCCCCTACTAGAAGCATCTGGGTACCTGGACTCTCTCTGTGGCGCTGGGCCACAGCTGCCTGCACAGGACTTTCTTGAGAACATCAGGAAGGAGGCTGACGGTGATGAGCAGGATGATGGTCAGCCAGGCAGGGCCATTGGACAACATCTTTATGAACACATAGTACATCCTTTGATAATTGAGGAATGGCCTGGAGTGTTGAGGGAAAGAAGAAAAACAACACGATGACAGGTCAGGAGTCATCAGGAGAAACACTGAAATCCTGCTGTTTTCTCTACTGGCATAAAAACCCATTTATTCTGGCCGTTTTAACTTTTAGCACTGATAGTCAGTGGACAAGCCGTTTAGCCTGCCTGCTTCGAATTCATTGTGTAAACAATGGGATGTAGAACTTCCCCTATAATGCTGAGGTGTTATGAATGGGAAAAGCAGGAAGGAATTCCATGAAGTCATCCCAACGGCAAAATAAGTCCCTGAAGTTTGGTTTCAGAACAACAAAAAAGATTTGAAAAGATTAAAATAGGTGATGTTTTTGGTACCTCAGAATCACAATGGCTATTAACATGAAGATATGCAAATGTTCTGATAAGCCGAGCTAGTTAACTACCTCAAGTTTATGCCGTAAAAAAATTTAATTTCTCTATAAAAATACAGGAGATGAAATTACTTACCTACCAGGCAAATTTATAATTCAAAGAAAATATCTATATTGGGTTCCATGAAAGAAGTTGAAAAGGATGCAGCAATTAATGATATGATGCTGAACTTGAATTGGTTTTACGATTCCTAAACCCCAAAGCCCAGGGGCTAGTCGGGAAGTCTTCAGGATGAAATCTTCCTCTTACACAGCCATAGCTTTGGAAAGTTCACTAGAACTTCAGGGATTTTTAGCTTGGGACAGGGTTGTTGGAAACCCACCCAAACCTTCTCTAGTTCTCAAAAGAACACGTAATGCATGGCTTTGGTCACTAGAGGGCAGTAATGGAATGAGAGGTTGGGATCGTATCAGCAACTGCCAACAGGGGGACAAGATTGATTAGGGAGGCTTTCTCTCTGTTTTCAGGGGCTGCCTGTTTCCTAGGGGTTGTGCTCAATATTTGAAATGAAAAATGAAGAGGACATTGCTTCCGGCCTCATATCTGGCCAGGCCTAGGACGAAGCCAGCATGTCCAGTTGAAGGAGGTGCTCGCCCTCAGGTTGTGGCCCCTGGAGCCTCCTCACTTGCCTCTCCCTAGTCCCAGCCCTGCTAAGGAAAAGCCCTGCCTTACAGGGGAGGCGGAGATGTAAACAGGAGAAGTACAGAACAGTATGGTATGTGCTGTGACAAGAGAATGAATAAATGCTTCAGGGATGAGGTGGAACTGCCCCGCCTGTAAAGTGGTTTGAGGGAAGCATTATTAAAGAGGGCAATGAGCTGCCAGGTTTTGAAGGATGAATAAGAGCTCACCCACCGGATAGTCTAATTGGAAAGGACACTCTCAGTAGAAGGAACTGCATGGGCAAAAACACGCTTGTGATAGTATAACAGATGCTGAATGCAACCACTTCTTGCCCTCATCAGGACTGAGTTAAATCAACATTGCTTCTTGACAGCTTTATCGCAACAGTTTCTAAACCGGTTGTCCTGTTTGCTTTCCACTCACAAGTTATTTTCAACACAGCCGCCACAGTGATCTTTCTAAAAGAGCCATCGGGCTCTGCTGCCACCCGTTTAAAGTCCTTGATGACGTCCCGCTGTTATCAGGCTGGGGTTGAGGTCCTACGGGGTCTCTAGGTCCTACGGGGTCTCTAAGCCCAGCGCGGCCTGCCCCTACTTACTTCCTCAGTTGGACCTAGGCCACTCTCCAGTCACCGTGGACTTCCTTCCGCCTGCCAGGGCTCTGCTTCAGGGCTTTTTCATGTGCAGCCCGCCAAGGCCGGCTCTACTGGCCATTAGGTCCATCTTAACATTTGTAGTGTGTAGAGAATGCAGTTGTGGAGAAGACTAAATGAGACGTACCCTGTTGAATACTTCACTCCTGCCTCATTCTAGAAAGGATTTAATAAGTGTGACCTATGATGATGATGGTGGTGATTTCCTCCCAGGTTTTAGTTTAAATAATAACTTTTTTTTGGAGAAGCCTTCTCTGACCTTCAATTTGAAATAGGTCCCTTGCTATAACATCCATTCTATGACTTACTTGTCACAGCCAGATTAGTTGTTATCTAGCCTGTCTCCCCCACTGAAAATATGAGGTCAAAGGAGGAGGGACCACACTTGCCTCATTCTCCCTGAGGTTCCCCAGGCCCTGGCACAATGCCTTGCACACAGCAGGCATTCAGTGAATACCTGCACACAGGAATGAAGTTGTACAGAAAGTGCATTTTGAGCTCATGATGAAAGATACTGCAGGAATATGAAGGTAATAAGGATTACATAATATTTATCAAATTCATACCAGATAATTCCTCCCCAGAGGAGGGAAAAGACGATGTAAAATAGCAGTGACCCCCAGATAACAAAATGGTTTATCCAAGTCCAGTAGTGTGTGTCTAACGCCAGCTGAAAGAAAGAAAAAGGTAATTAATATGGTATTATCTAAGCATATCAGTGCGAGCCATGCCAGCTAAGAGAGAAAGCCAGAAAATAATGAAGCAAACAAACAAACAAACCACCATCACCTTAATTTTAGCTAAAATGCCCATGTGAAACTGCTTAGGAAAAATAAACCGTTATTCTTCCAATGGAGACAAAGAATGTGTGATGTCACGGTCCTCGCAATCACCACATTCCTAGTAAGTCTCACCCAGACCCTGGGGAAACTCGCTCTAGAAGTGTTTCCCAAAAGGAAGGCCTCGGGGGTGACAGCTTAAGTAGTAATGTTGGCTACATTACTACTAAGGAAACCAGTTTTGGATTTTCTCTGTGTCACTTTTTAAGACTTGAGTTGAGAGGTTTTGGGGACTTTCATAGTGATATCCCATATAGAATTTGACTTTTAATAAAAGCTGAATTTTTCATAAAACATTTATTTGTTTCAGTTACAGTATATTTTGATTACATAATGGCTGCTTGCCAATTAAAAGAATTCTAATCTGAATCCTCTTATAAAGAAAAAGATCATTTCTTTATCCATCTTCTGTGTAATTCTGGAAGTTTGCATATTGGGTTGCCGAGTGGGCTGAGTTTGTGCTCATTTAAATGGCGGGAAGATGACCCCTGAGTGGGCCCAGGAGCTCACCCGAGCTGTGTGCAAGTGCGGATTTGTAATTTGGTATGTATTTATAATTTAGAGGTGGGGAGACCTACACATTCAGGAATTAACTGTGGTTGGAAGAAGAAACATCAGTGTGAGAGAATTTACCTTTAGGGTGACAGTAAATACCATCACAGTGAACACCAGCGTCCCGAAGGTCCAGTTTCCAAATATCTGTGGGGACAAACAGTCCAAGCAGTCTCTTGTGAATATGTTATTTTTCCCCTTTCGCATTCAAAACAAGGGTGTTAGAGAATACATCTCATTGTTCTTGTGTGCCAACCCTTCAAACCCTAAACATACAGGGACTATGTCTTGTTACTACAAAGAGGAGACAGCAGTAAACACCCTGAGGCACTCGAGACCCCCTGGCTTTTTGGCACCATCCCCAGGGCCAGGGCAGTGATCGGTGGTGGGAACAGATGCTTTCCTACACTGACTGTCCTGTCACCCATGATATAGACCCTGCACTACACTCGCAACAAACATCAGTCCTAACATCACAAGCCGAGAGCAAAAATACCGAAGAGCTGCTATCACAATACGCACGATGCTAACTGTGTGTGTGTGTGTGTGTGTGTGTGTTTTATGTAGAAGAGACATTTACCCAATTACTTAGCTCTACACCCTCTGCACGTTCAAGAATAAACTCAGAAGAGTTTGTGTCTGTTCTCTTTTGAACTCAACTCAAACATCTGCCTGCTCTGGAAGAAAAGTAACTGCTAGAACATTTTGCTAGTAGCAACGAGAATCACATCATGTATGGGCGACATCTTGGGTGGGACTTTCCTTGAGAAAAAAATCACAGAAAAGGGAGAAACGAAGACAGACAAGACAGAGCTGCACGAAGGCCCCCGGCAGCCATTCTGATGGTCAGAACCACATACAGGTCAACAGCCCTGCGGAAGAGGCCATGGGAGGCGGGAGCACAGGGCACGGCTTCGGGGCAGCCCAGAGGGCTCGGGCAGGATGCAGGAGAACCGCCAGTGGTGGAAGCACACGAGTGGAATCATGAAAACAACACATTTTTCTATTACAGACAAAGACACAAGCAAAATAAAACACCTACTACTTGAGACTTTTTTCTCTTACGGGAAAAAATATCAGTCTGTAGACGATTTTATTCTATAAGACTAAATTTCTTCAAGATGTCTACACTAAGAATTGACCTATTCTGGTTTTTCAGATTCTGTGAACCATGCCTCTCAGAAAACATTCCTGTACATCTTTCTAAAAGAAAACAAGGCTTTATTTCACAAAGAATTAAAGACCTGAAATACAAATGGCTTTCCTTCATAGTTAATTTTTAATCAAAGAAACATGCCTACACATAACTCAGTTTCGGTGAATGTGTAGGCTACCCGTCTTGTGTTATATTTAGAGAGGTAAGAACTACTGGTGGAATTCTAGAAGAAAAACTGTTAGGACTCTGTAGTAAACACAGACTTTTAAAAAACCCCAATCAGCATCTCTTTTTCACTTTATTCTTTACTTCATCATCATGATCAAAACTGGGCTTTAATCATGCAGATCCACATATACCAGTGGCTCTCAACAGGGCATGGGGGTGGAGGGTGGGGTGGTGGTGGTGGTGATTCTGTCCCCAGGGGACACTTACAATGTTTGGAGACATTTTTGGTTGTCACAACAGGAAGAGAGGTGTTATTGGCATATAGCAGGCAGAGGCCAGGGGGCTGCTAATTGCAACTCCACAACCAAGAACTCTCTGGCCCCAAATGGCAATGGTGGTCAGGTTGGGAAATTCTCAAAGAAAGTGTTCTCTCTTCAATGCTTAACTTTGGGGGCAGGAAAATTTTCCGAATTTGGTTGTAGTTTAGCAGCAGCTCACAAAAATTCCTGGCCCGCAGAGTGTTGGAAAACAAAGAGACTGTTTTGTTTTTCGTTGGAAGCTGATGTTTTTAGCCTAAAGTGAAGGGTGAATTTGTGGTGAGGTGAGGGGCAGCTATGAGTTCCAAGTGGGCACCGTCAGAGGAACCTAGCTGGAAGGCTCCACCTCGCCTGGCTCTCCACTCCCTCACACTCCAGGCCCGCATGTTTGCCACCCTTGCCTGGCAGGAAATGCGGAAATTATTTTAAAAAGTGTTAGATAATGGCAAAATGTGAAAATGGAGTATGCATAGCAGAGTGGCAGCATCACAAATCAGGGACAAACTTTCAGTCCTTTGAGTGGCTTCTCTGTTTCTCTCTCTCCCTAAGGGTAGCAGGGCTTCCCCAAGGGCACTGCTGAGTTTCCGCAGATTTGGTGGGTTATGGTAGACCTGAGGTCACAGATCAGGCCTAGTCCCAATGCCTAATCCAGTAAAACACAAGGACTCAGTTGTAATTTTTACAGGTGAATGGCAATAAAGCACAACGCTGCTGAGTTTCTGCAGATTTGGTGGGTTATAGTAGACCTGAGATCACAGATCAGGCCTCCCAATGCCTAGTCCGGTAAAACACAAGGGCTCAGCTGTAATTTTTACAGGTGAATGGCAATAAAGCACAACTATCTTGAACCCAGAACTGAGAATTTTGGTCAGAACCTTGGGCAGTGCTGATGAATCTGCACTAGCTTTACCTACCACCCCCTCTCCCACTCCCGCAACCTATTTCTGGCTCATTGGGGCAGACAAATATGGTACCAGCTCTAAGTTCCCCTTAATTTTTAAATTTGTTTTTAGGAAGCCCTCAGGCTAATTGTTAATAGTCAAATTATTATTAAAATTGTTTGCCATTATTTATATGGATTTTGGGAGTGGGAGGTGGGATGGTTCACTGGGACACTAATCCCCTTTCTCAGAGGGACCATCTTTCTTCTAAGTGACGTCATTCCTCAGTGAAGCCCTGCGTCTGATTTCCTAACCCAACAGTCTCTTCAATGAGAATGTCACTAACTTTACAGCCTCATTCGGATGATCATCAGAATTTGGTAGAATGTCTCTGGAGCGTGGTGCTCCACCAGATCTAAGTTTAATCCTTTCTCCTCATGCTTCTCCCTCTCTCTTCTGAGGATGAATATTTTGCCGGAAATTTTTCTGCTTATTAGAGAATTAAGATTCAGGCCAATTTGATTTTTATGTGTAAAAATATTCAGTGACAAATATGACTTGCATTGTCTCAAAATCACGGTCACAAGAAACACCTACTACATTCCCTTCATGTATTGGTTCCATACTTCCACCAAGTCCACTGGCATAATTTGCTCTTGCCACACTGGCCACTGCTCCTATTTCGGCTATCGAGATGTTTGCTTCCCTTCTATTATAACATGCTCCAAACTTTCAGGTGTTCATCTAGGAATAGCCTGCTGTTCGACAAAGATAATTATCGTCTTAGTATTCTTATTTGAGAAATAATTATGGCTTATGATGTCTGTGCAGAAAATGCTCCATAAGTGAATTTCTCTTTTTGCAAAAGTTATCGATGATTCTGTTATTCCTCAATACTACATGTGATCTATAAACAATCCCATAGAATGATTTAAGTCTTTAAAAAAAAGTGGTCCTCACATACTGACCATCAACAGAACAGGGCATCTAAATTGTCTCACCAAGAAGATGCATTCTCATTTGGAAGGCACACAATCAGAAAGTGAAGAGCATGTGATTTCCAAACTGCCTACTACCTTAGAACCAAGGATATCATCAGTTGTTGGGACCACCCCTTATTTACTCATATTTTGTAGGTTTATCTGAATTACTGCAGAACCGGTCCATGATACCATTTTTAATTTTGTAAGTGATATAATGCTTTTATCCCCCGAACAAGAATTTAAGAATCACCAAGCCAGAATGAGAGAGGTTCTTTCTGAACATGCAAAGGCACAATTGAGGATGTAGAGTTTGAATACCAGACACTGCTATGGAGTGGCCTTGAGTCATCCCAATTTCCTAGAGCAACTGTCCTCCTAATGATACGGGATGACACTGTCCACACTATCCCTCACAGACTTGTCACTCATAATTAGGGATGGTATGAGCATTATTCATCCTGCTCTTACAACTCTAAGTCTTTAGATTATTTAACTTCTATAGAGTGTTAGCGAATGGAGCAAATTTCATCTCTCAAGTGCATAACTATAGACAAACACCTCACATTAAATATCTTATTTGGCACCAACTGTCCCATGGGCTGGTTCATAATATCGCCATGTGTCTCAGAAGCTTTTCATATGACAAGATGTACATTATGTGTGTTGAATGTTTGTCATGTCAGGCCAGCAAGCAGAGTGAGGGCTCTCAAAACTCTTGGCCAATGAGCAAAAAGGCATCCACTGGGTTTTTCTTAGCTGGAGTAGTGCAGGCCAATTTGTATTTTCTCTGTCTTGGTCTTTTTCTGTCACTGTTTCAAATTCTAATGAATAGTTTTGTCCAATAACAGATGAACAAAGGCATGCAAGTAGTAATTGTGGAAGGCATAAAAGCATCGCAGGAAAGCATCATCCTAGAAATTAGTATTTGGGTTCTGTGGAGACTCAGGACACCCTTAAGGAAACAGGGAATAGGAGATAAACAAGGAATTGGTAAATCCTTGGATCATATGAAGGGTTTCAAAATGCCACTATACCCACAGCAACATGAGGAGTGGCTGGGTAGACATTTGGTTGGAGACACATCAGGGCTGCAGGGATTTGAGAAGGAGGAGGAGACGTGGCCCAAGCATCGCATCGGGAAGGCTTCACTACAGGTGTGTACTCCAAAGCCACACCGTGCCGATCAACCGGCACTCCCATTTCCGGGTGACCGGGTCAAGCATGCCTTTTTATGTGTATCCTTTTCCCCACTTAAGCAATCTTTTAATGGTACTTCTTGAGAAGTACTCACTATTTTATTATGTAATACTGAGATTAAAACAATTAAGAACGAGCATGGAATAAAATAAATACCATAAAATTTTCAAACATCCCAGATATGAGTTCTAATTACCTGACCTTGTACAAATTCTTTAATCTGTCTGAACTTCAGATCCCTTGACTTAACACCATGAAAATGTCCAACTGAAAGGGCGATTGCAGTGAGGGAAGATTTGTGACAGTAAACTGCAAACGAAGTGCCAGATGAATGGCACCAATTTCAGTATTGTCACGATCCTGGAATTTTAGTCCTCAGGACATAACATCTTAGTTCTTTTTAAGATACATGCAAGATGCTTACTTAAAGCCTGACCTGTTAAGGAAATCTTTTTTTTTAACACCTACAGCACCTGGACTTCTTAAGTGGCCTCCAATCCAAGTACTAACCAGGCCCGACCCTGCTTAGCTTCCAAGATCAGATGAGATTGGGCATGTTCAGGGTGGCATGGCCGTAGACTAGGAAATCTTATAAAAGAAATATAAGAATGATAAGACAGCTCTATTTAACTACATTTATGGCCTGGTGGCGTCCAGAAATTATTTAATTAAAATAAGTGTAGACAAAGAATAAATTCTAGAAAAATGTAGTTTGTAAAAGAATGAAATAAGATTTTTAAAAATTCTCGAGATCAATTTAGTGAAAATTAATTTTAGTTATAATGAAAGATAACAGCACCTTTTAGTAATGAGAAATAAGAAACAAATAAATTTGGATAAACAAACAGCACAGGACTTGTAGCAAGACTTTCCCACTTCATTCCAACTTTTTGAAGGGATAAACACAAAGGAAAACAAAATGGGGAAAAGAAGTGTTCTGTCAAATAGGAAATGAAATATACTTCTAGTCATAAGTTATCTTTCTTTTATATTAACAGTAGTGTTTATTTATGGCCAGGTTAAAAACTGTGACATTTAAGTAGAGAACAATTCCGAAGTATACTCCATGTCTTTCACAATTCTCCCAGGTTGCACAGGTTTGCCACATTCAAAGCAATGTCCCCAGTAGGCCTCACATGCCTATGTACATTGCCTCTTATTTAAGGTAAAGGGCAGTTCAAACAAGTCAATTTAAAAAAAATTACTGACTTAACTGGCAATCCTGACACAGAAATTCAGAGAGAAAACACCAAGTACAAATGATCAAATGTACACAGACTTCTCTAATACAACTTTAATTCTACAGGAAGGAGAAGGTAGTGGCAGCTAACAGTATTTCTACTGACAAAGCACACAGAGGAAGTCACATTTGAAAATATTTTCAAGAAATATTTTATTTAGAATGCACTTCAAAAACATAGAGAGGACACACCCACAATTGTCTTACCATGTGTGTGTTGGTAGTCATTATCTGAGAGTGGGAAGGAAAGCAAGTTGCAAAAAGAAAAAAGCAGATACAAATAAAACAAACCCTAGAAATTATGCAAACAACCAGAGAGCTGATGTCTATTAGAAACTATCAATCTACTCATTGCAAAGGAAACGAATACTTAAGTGCATGTGAAAAAATGCTAAAATGTGTTAAATACAAAATTAATTCCCATATTAGGTAAGACATACCGGGATGATCTAACTGAACCACTAGATAAATAGCTATTGGTGAAATATAAGTTACAAAAATAAAATCTGAAAACTCTCAGGAAGCATATTTCTTATAGTCAGCAGAGCTACGCAGAGCAGGGCATTTACTGATGTACTGAGTGCTTTAAAGCGATTTGGTAGCTAAGTACCCAAATATCAGGAGTCCCCACAGGCTGTGCTGAATGACTGCACTGACCAACGATCGTACGTGATTTGAGGTTTATTCTCAAGTAGCCAAGTCAACAAAATCTAGTTCCATACTAACCTGTCCATTGCTGGTCACTGTTGTATTTTCAAACATGAAGTAAGCACCAAAGAAAAACACCAGAGCGTCAAATACTCCTAAGAATGTCCAGTAAATGAACACTCGCCAGCGGAGTAGAGCGTTCTTGGCGATATCTCTGTATAAAGAAAAAATGAGAACACAGTGATTGCATTCCATTAAAACCGGCCTCACTGGGTGATCCAGCCATCTCTGCTGTGCTCTGCAGTGACCATTCTTGTCCAGTAGGGGCCTCTAAGTCACTGGACAGACACTGTGAGCCTTAATCCGGTTTCCCCCAGTGGTATCGTCTGACAAAATATTCTACAATGGAATGGGGAGCGCGGCCTCAGGAATACAGTCAGAAGTACTGTAATGGCTAGGTGTAGAGCCAGAGGGAAGATAGAGTAATTGGGGGGATCGTTTCATAAACTATATAAATGTCTAACCAATGTACTGTATACTTGAAACTAATAATAAAATAAAATTTAAAAATCTTTAAAATATTCAACAAAACTGTAGGACAGTATCACAACCTGGGTACTGATATTGACACCATCCACCCATCTTACCCGGGTGATCCAGTTTTACAGACTCTCTTTGTATTCTTTCTTACAAATACATGTGGATCTAAAATTTTCTGAAATAAGTTTAATTTAAAAAGACACACACACACACACACACACACACACCAGTAACACACTGAATCTTCCAGTGATCCTGGAATATAGTTCTGAATAGCAGAAAAACATCTTCTTTTTCTTAAAAAGTACTTTTGAGCATAAAAGAATACACTGAAATCAGAGCTGTTAATTTATCGTAACACACTGAATCTTCCAGTGATCCTGGAATGTAGTTCTGAATAGCAGAAAAACATCTTTTTCTTAAAAAGTACTTTTGAGCAGAAAAGAATACACTGAAATCAGAGCTGTTAATTTATCTCCACCCCCTCCGCGCACCTCCCCCCTCCCACTGAATAGAACATATTTGGTTTTTAAAGGATAATAAAGGCCATAAATCTATGGGGGTCACAAGGGGATAGAAATTCTTATCCCTTATCTTTGCATAATTATCAGGAAGCATGGTAAAATATTAATATTTGAATGCAGCATAAACCTTCAATCTAAATTTAAAGTATACTCACTTAAATTACATTGCTTCTTGCTTAAAGACCATGGTAAAAGCAAGTGAATCAGCTGACACTGAATATTTCTGGTTTTTAAATAATTCCATGAGGGATATATTCAAATCTATGGCTATCTCATTATTCTCCAAGCTCTAAAGCAAGTGTGTTTCTGAGGCTTGGTACCTGTAGAGGGAAGGGTCCCTCTTGAGCGTGTCTATGCTGACGTGCTGCTCCATCAGGCTGTACAAGAGAATCGGGAGGGAAGTGAAACTGATGTTGTACAGTGTCAGGTAGGCGGTGTCGTACAGAGTCTGCAGGAAGGAAAAAAAATCAACTGAAAACAACACCCATGCATCCTGATAAACTTTTTTGATGTTTTGTTAAACACGTATATGTTTTAATTTGCAAAGACCTATAAATCTGAGCATTCTAAAATGTATACAAAGGCATCTTTCTACAGATTTAGAAGGACCAGAACAATTTTCAAAGCTTCATGATGTCAACTAGACAGGATTAAAATCAAGGCTGAGAGGTCTGACTGTGACACACCCCCTTAGGCCACTGCAAACTTGCAACAAAAAATGTTGCATAAAAGTTTGCAATTTTGATTGCCATCTTGAAGCTTTAATTTTCCCCAGTCCCAACTCCTTTGGTTGAAAGCAGTCGCTCACAGTCCCTTTGAGCAGGACAGGAAATCAAGAGAATGATGGAAAAGGGTACCCTGAGGGGCCCCTTCTCTCCTCTCCAGTCAGATGGCCTGCACTGCCCTACTCGGCACACTTGAATGTGTCAGAAGCCAGTGAGTGGTGAGACACCCAGGCAAGGATCTCAGATTTAGGTTCGGTCCTTTCTCATTTAGGGTCAGAAAGCCCTATACGGTTCCCCTGGGCCAGGTCAGGGGAGGCAAGTTCTGGGCACATCACTCGCTGGACTGCTAGAGAGAGCCTGCAGTCAGCAGACGCGGGCCCCTCCACGTTTCTCCTTCACCCTGCCTGCTGACAGGGTTGCTGAGGGCAGCAAGGTGGAGGGCACTTGGGCCTCCCTCGCCGTCCCGGCCTGCTCTCCCCGCATGCAGTCTACTCTCCCCCTACTGCAAGGCCATAAGACTCAGGAGAGCTTCTGACTGCTGACACCAGGACTCACCTGTTGTGAAAACCCACAGAAGAACTGGTATAAAAACTGAGGGAAAATGAAGCAGACATTCTGAAAGACAAATCACATGCCTGTTAGTTCAAGGGCACACTGTAGAAGGCATCTAATCTCCTAAGAGATTGTCCATGTGACACCGCTCTGTCTGAGGAAAGTGACCCGAAACTGTCCTACATTCTCAGAAGAGCAGAGGATGGGCTTAAAAATTCTTCTCTTATTCTAATGGTACCTACAATGTGTATGTGACCATGTTCTGGTCACTCTGAAAACAGACAACATAAAAGGAAATTTGTTAAAGAGAAATGAGGAGACAATGTAGATGTCAATATAAATAGGAAAGAATCAATCTGCATAATGAATAAGAATTATTTCAAGAAATTATAAAAGAACGCCCCTTCCTCTTCATTTTACAACTGATATCTTCTTATTGGTTCCACATTAAATTGTGTGAATATGAGTGAAGTGCTAGGATTAACCCCTTCCTTGCTGATAGTTACTTCGATTTTTACATAAGTTACCTTTTCTAGCATTGAGGCATCTGTCAAATGTGTCACTTATCATGTACATTATATGCCACTGAAACAGTGAGAGGAGCAAGGAAATGTTCCTACCTTATAAAAGAAGTATTGCACAAGCTCGGATATCCTAATGTAATAAAAATGCCCATGAACAAGTAGCATCTTCTTTAAATGCTTAAATTTCGGTATTGCATAGTCACTGTTCCTTGCAGCCTGACGACCTTCCTTTCCAATGACACCTATAAGATGGGAATAAATGTGCTGAGTACACCCTTTGCCGACACCACTCAAGTGAAAACAGGAAGAAGCAAAATAAGGTTAGATCAAACCATTACTGTGAGATTTCTCAGTCATGAATATACTAAATCACAGATGGTGTCCTAAATGTGCCATCTAAATTTTATGATCTTGCCTATGGCTGTATCACCTTCTTCTCTAGCTAAAGTAATAAATCTTGGTTAAAAAAACATTCAGGCAACCAAAAAAGAAGAGGCTTACCTATGCCCACATGGGCTTCCAGAATCATGCTGACGTCATTTGCACCATCACCAATTGCTAACGTAATTGGGTGCTCTTTTGAAAGTTTGATTAATTTAACAATCTGGAAAAGTAATAAATGGAGAATTTATCTTCTCTGTTTTATTTTTGCTCAGGTTATTCATTAACAAGGCAGAAATAAAAAAAAAAGAGTAAAGTTAAGAAAAATACATTACTTGCTTAGAGTGAATTTACTACATTCATTCTTTACATAGGATAGATAACATCTTTTTCGTATCAAAAACAAAATAAAATAAAGCAAGAGTAGGTAAGGTATGATTACAATGAGATAAGTGGAAAAAGGCTGTTAAGCAAACTGAAGATTGACACATGAAATGTACAAAGTAGTTTTCAGTTACTGCTATACTGACATATTTAATCATATAGGGGAAATATATTTAAATATATAGGAAAAAACCTGAACGTTGTATTCTATGAGAAGATATTGCTTTTCCAAACTTTTTGGTATCAAGCATCTACTTTTTAAAATAAGCTGTTCTTAATGCTATTTTAATTTTTAAATTTGTCATGTGTGCAAAATCAAATCTGACAATTCAGTGTAATTAATAATTTCCAAATATTTAGTCTATTTCTTTATAATATTTTTTTTCCCACTTATGTGTCTAAGTATAGTGGTTCAAAATATAAGGCTGAAAAGATGAGAAAAAATGTGTGGCTTGCCTTCTCTATTCAAAATGAGAGACTGAAACACAAATTAATTTGTATAAAAGTTTGCTAAACTCAGTTAAAAACTTAAAAATTTAAGTACCATGTAGAACATGAAGATCAAACATAAAATCCTTAAATTGCCATTCTGGGCATAATTATATAAGGTTTATATAGAATCAAACACAAAGAGGAAGGGCAGGGAATCAAATCATTTTTATCTTGGATAGAATGTATATAAAGTTTTGAGTCTCAGCTTGTCTTCCCTAAGAATTACCCAGATGAGAGCATATATTTTTAGTGACAATGTCACTTAACAGATTAGTGTAGCACACGTGCAATGATGCTAACAATGACCTCTTTGCACATGGTGTTCAGTATTTTACCTTAACCACTGGGTTAGTCTGAGAAGTTATGGATTTCTTTCATGAACAATTCATGAGAAATTGGTCTAGTGTATCTAGAATATGGTTTAACAAAGTTGGAAATGTAGGTTTACTGATATCAGAAAGATACCAATGTTCACATATGTACTCCAGAACGCTTTAAAAAATGTTTTAAAAAATACTTCTGTTTCCAAAAGAACATGGTACAGTGGGTACAATATGAGTTTGGGGTTTGACACACTAGAAGCCAAATTCTGACTCATTTTCCAAGTGTATCCTGTTAAACAAGTTGTCCCAACTTTTTACATCTTAGTTACTTCATTTGTAAAATGAGCATAATGTCCATCATCTAACAGGGTTATTCTGAAGGTTAAATGGGTTCATATCTATATCTGTAACTAGTAGACAGTAGGTGCTCAATAATGCTATTTGCTACCTCTTTCATCTTTAGTATAGATTCCTATAAATGATTATACTTTTGTGATACGGTTTTATTTTTACAAGAGAAGTCAGATGGCAATCTCTCTTCTGGTCTTTGCACCAAAAGCGTCATCCATTTGATTCAGTCAACTCTTAACTAATCACAAGCAAAATAAGATCCAAGTTTTAAATTTCTATTATTTTGCTTTTAAAAAGGTGGCACCTTGCTAGATTAAAAAAAAAAAAAATCAGTGGTTATGTTAATTAATTAATGGTTTTCAATATTTAAATATCCCTCGAGCACTAGCTAATTACAAGGGACAGGAGCGTGGACCTGGGCTTTCTGCAGAGGCGCCATCCGGCAGCAGAGCACGGCACTGCAGTTCCGGCAAATCTCAAGGAAGAGTTCTCTGTAGTTGCTGGAACTTCCATCTTCTCTGGGTTTCATTATTAAAGACAGCGCAGCTCCATCAATAATTAAACCGTAGTCTTGCATATCTGTTGAAAGTCTGTCAGATTATATAAATCACAGAGATTATTCAGTAATTACATTTATAGACATTAGAAAACTATATAATTTTTTTAGATATCTATAGATGCTACAAATCCATGAGCAAGGGATTAAAAAACTAGTACAGTAGTTGTCCTTATCAACAGGGATATGTCCAAGACTCCCAGTGGATGTCTGAACCCGCAGACAGTACCAAACCCTACATATGCTATGTTTTTCTGATACATACATACGACAAAGTGTAAGTTATACATTAGGCACAATAAGAGATTAACAATAACTAATAATAAAATAGAACAATTATAGTAACATACTGTAACAGACCAAAAGTTGTATATATATGGTCTCTTTCTCTCGTGGATCTGCTGGACAAAGGGATGATTCATGTCCCAGGCGGGACAGAGCAGAACAGTGTGAAATTTCATCATGCTACTCAGAACAGTACACATTTAAAACTTATGAATTATTTATTTCTGGGATTTTCCATTTTTATTTTCTGACCATGGTTGACCATGGGTAACTGAAATTGCAAAAAGCCAAAGGAGGGAGACCACTGTATTTCTTGTTTTATCAATACTGTCTTTAGAGTACTAGATGTAACACTTTTGACTATATTTTAAAATTGTGTTTTAATTAAATATTCTCCTTTCACTTAGGCAAAGCAAGTGATTCATACGCAGGTCCAATACTTCTCAACAATAGGAGAGCATTTATCTTGGAGTCTAAAGGGGTCAGCCTTTATTGGTAAACTTCCTGGTCATATTGGTCAACCTCGGTCTTTATCTTTACATCTAATATCTCCCTGATATTCTGCCTGAATGATCTGAGTTGGGAAGAACAGTCATAATTCTCTTTGCTGGGTTTCAAAGTTACAAACAAATATCTCTAATCTCCAAAAGGAATTCTGCAGATCAGGTGAAGGGGAATATATTTGTACTACTTATGAATAGTTTAAAATTTGCAGATGGTTAGAGAGCTGCTTGTGCTTTACCTACGTTAGTGAAAGTCTAAAAAGAATCAAATAAAATCTAATCTTAGATCACACATCTTATGCATTTAACACCAGCCAGGACAGCATTGATAAAATATATCAGAATAAATCGCTGAATATTCTTGGGATAAAACAAAACAAAACACAACTCTTGGGCATATACTGTCTTGTCTTAACAGACAAACAACCATGCATTAATATTTCCCTCCCTGGTCTGGCAGATGCCCCGAGGAGGTCTTAGAAAGAGATGAGAATTACACCATTCACAATATTTTGTAAATTGATCAAGTCTTCCTGCATCCTTTAGCCAGCAGTTTGAAACACACACACACACACACACACACACACACACACACACACACACACACACACACCCCTTTCTTATGGATACACTCTTGTGCTAAAAGATACGTTATAATTCCTAAGAAGAAACAGCTTTGATTATGTTTCCTGTGATCACTCCAACCACGCTGATGCTGTTACTGATGCAGGAGGACAGAACCACATTCCCAGCAAGGGTACTGAGGCTCCATCCTTGTAAATGGAGGTCACTTCAATCCTTCTGAAAACATCTTTTGCAGTGCGGAAGGAGGGTGTTGCCTACCCTGAGAGGTTGTCCCTGGTTAAGCTGCCACTATAGCGTAGGACAGTTTTACTGAGCTCAAACAGGACGTCATGTAAACTCTGTTCCTCAATTTTCTTGGTGGTCAGCTCGAGCAACTGTGTGTTTCTCCTGAAGAGTTTGCACGCATAGCAGGTGGCTGCCGCTGTCTCCATTTTGTCCCCAGTAAGAACCCAGACTTTGATCCCTGCCTTCTGCAGAGCTTCTATGGTGTCAGCAGCTTTTTCCTGGAGCCTAAGGAAAGCAAAAACAAAACACAATGAACGTCACGGCTGACAAAGGCAAAAAAAATAAATAAATAAACAATTTCAGAAACTTGTGATCTAGTAAAATATCTCAGCCCCTCAAAATTAAAACCATACTACTGGCTCATGATCTCACGATAAAGTGCCTGAATCTGCTTTTAAAATGTATTAAGTTTTTACAAAAAAAAAAAAAAAAACAAAAAAACCTTCCTAATGTCAAATAGATAAACATTGATAAAATATTAAGAAGTAAATGGTTGTCTTGCATAATTGCCATATGTCAGCACTGCAGTTTTCTATCTAGCTGGGACTCACTAACTGGAGAGTATTTTAGGCAATTATAAGAAGTACTATATAACCAACAACAACAAAAAAGTCTTACTCAGGGAAAAATAAGATCTGCAAAGGAGGTGATCAGTAATAGTCATTATCTTTTCTTTTGGCATAAACTGTTCAAATTTTGCCACTTATCAAATTGGAGCCCACGTTTCTCTAAATAATGTAAAACACTAATAATGCTAGTTGTGATTCTATGACTGGCTAACATGCATCATAGGCTTACCATGTGTTAGATGCTGCATGAAGAATTTCGTGTGTGACATTCCATTTTTACAACCAACTTAAGGAGCATGGACTTTATTATCACCCCACTTTACGTGTGGAAAACCCAAACCTTGCAGAGGTTACAAATCATGTCAGGATAACCAGCTCTCTTGACATGGGTTAGGCTGTCCCACTATCCGTGGAAGTCTGGCATCAAAACCATGCTTGCCTCATTTGGGAGGCCTGACATTTTTTCAAGTTTTTAGAGTCTTAGGGTTTGATAGGCATGTGGAATAATGTAGTGTGTCTCTGACAAGCACTGAATAAAAGGAATGGATTCATCTTCTAACTGGGATAATTTGATTAGATTCTAGGATAAACCTCCTAGGTAGAAGTCTGGAGATTACACAACAGTATTCTAGAGATAGAAAAATACATCTCTAATTTCATCATTTTTTCTTTTTGAAAGAGGAAACTGAGGTTGAGAGGGGTCTGCGAAGATGCTGACTAGAGATGCTAAAGTAATCAAATATCATCACTTCGAAGGCATTGATCCCCACATACTCCCCCCCTCCACCAGGTAACCTACTTTCAATATTCCAATGTCTCAACTCCCCACCAAGTTGATCTGCTCCCACAACCCTCTTGAGGGGCCCCCTGCACATTGGTTTGGCCTGCTCAGTTCCCTGCATCTGCAAAAGCCTCCCCATCACTTCCTTCAAGAACCAGGTCCGACTCTTCCCCAGACAAACACCACCCTACTAAACAACTCTCTCCTTCCTAACACACAATCCCATTCTATGACTATGGTTTCATGTTCTAAACCAGTCCGGTGCATGTTATGCTTCTTATGTTTATACTTGTTATAATATAATATATCTGAACTGAATGAAGGAAGAAACTAAAAAAAAAAAAAAAAAACACACCAAAAAAACGGAAACTTCTTACATTGCCCAACATGCTTTTGAGATTGAGAACTCAGTAAATGTTTGTTAAAGACACTGGGAAAATGTATGTTTCCAGCTAAGAATTTAAATTTTGGAGTAATATATAGATTTTAAAGACTTTCAAACTTTATGGGAAATAAACTCTCAGTCAATTTTCTAAAATTTCTGTTTTATTCTTTTAAATTGGGATATTTTTTTCTTTTCCATTCCTTCAAAGTAAACTGTAATTCATTTTTCTCACTCAGCTCTCAAGACAACAGAGTGGACAGATGACCATATCTTAATGCACTTAGCCTTAAAAAACTTTTAGTCTTTATAGAATTATGAAGTTTTGAAGTTCTTTCTTTGGAGGCATTTGAAAATCTGTAATCGGTAATTTTATTAGCTATTATTATTATATTATTCTTTATATTGAAATATTCTACTTGATTATTTTAAATTTCTTCAGTGAGTAGTGACAAATACATTGAGTATGTTAGGATCTAGAATGTTATACCTTGTGTTTGAAAAGAACTAATAACAAATTTAGGAATCAGTTATTGATTTTATGCTAAAGGATATTTAAAAAAAAAAACCCTATCTCTCAACTATTCATAATGTGATGTAAAAATGCTGACTACTTCTGGTTTCTTCTGGGAAAGTGTGAATTTCAGGCATCTCATTCTTGGGCAGCCATGAGGTCCCCGTGATATTACTTCACGGCATGGAGTCAGACAGCTTGTCTCCTCCTCTGTGTAAACACATCCTCGTTTGGTATGGCTGACACATTTCCTCCTGAAGCAGCCCCACACAGCCCATGCTGCCACACTGCATCATGCTTTGTTTCTGGAGACAAGGCATAGTGTTCACTTTACCGATCCTCAACAGCGGTAGCGCCAAGCAGAATAAGGTCTTTCTCTATCTGCTCATAGGCTTCTGCTAACTTCTTTTCTCGATCTTGAAGTGCCACCTTAGCAGCCTGCAGCAGTTTACAAATGCCTTCATATTCTTCTTGGATGAGCCTTTTGTAGGCAACGCACAAAGTCCGAAGCCCCTCCTGTGGGATACAATGCATTTCATGTGAATTCAAGTGTTGCTGTGCCAAAATATTATTTTTCAATGGTTTTCTTAATAGCTCCTTTCTCTAATTAGAATGACTAATCAAATAATTATAAGCCAACCAACATTAAATATAATCATTATATATCATAAAATTTTCAAACTAGTAGAAGGGGAATCAATAATAAAATCAAGGCCATCGGAAGTTAAGACTGTTCTTTTCTTTTGACAAATGAAGAGTTAAACTTTTTTTTAGGATAGTCATTTGCAATTTTATGGTGAATTGCAAGTGGTATTTCTAAAGTAACATGTTTTACATGGGAGTTTGTGATATACTTTAATCTTATTTAGCACTCGCTGGAGGAAAATTGGGCTAGGTTAGTAGTATGGGCTTAACATACTACAAAGTCTTACAAACCTATTTGGTCCACAGGAGAGTGAAATAACCTAAGAATAACAGATTCTCTACTGTGATGCTAATAACAAATTCTCTACTGTGATCTCTGTGTCACCACACACACAGAAGCATAATACCAGCCAGTGAAGCACAAGTAAGCTGGACTCTCAGAGCCTCAAGGGGCCACACATGGAGCATTTTCATTCTGTCAATGTGTTAGTTTGGGGTTTTAGTTGACTGGTGTGTGCCCCCTCCTTCCTCACTGTCTGCCGGGATGGCTGCAAGGAGATGGTCTTCTGCCCCCTTGAAGAAAACGTTATCAGCTTTCCAGGAGCTGAGAGAAGGCTCATGGCATAATCGGAAAGAAATGAGCACCTTTCCCTTATGAGACGCAGGTAGACAGAATGCTTGAAGCAACCTCTAATGTCAGAAAGCAAAGTTATTAAAAAGAGTTGAAAGAAAAGTTTAAATAGTTATATTTATAAGGGAAAGGGACCACATGATTAAGAGACGTAACATGGATTGGAAATCCACTCAGCTTGTACCCACTTCTGCAGAAGCTTCTAGGTTAGCAGACATAATGCGATGATGATATGCTAAACAGAAACGCTGAGTTTTAAAGTCTGGACTTTTCTGAGGTCCAAGCAGCAGTTGTTTAGACAGAACACACTGAATTCCAGTGTTAGTCCCATGAACTTCCTTTGTTCGAATATGACTTTCCTCTGAAAGAATGGGAGAGATGGACAGGAGAACTTGGGGCAAGAGAACATCTTCTCTCCTGTTCTGAGCAGAGATCCCAGGGTTCCATGATGAAAATGCTCTGTCTAGAGCCTATGCTATTTGACTCATGTGGCTATCAGTGCAGCCAGTGTCACACAGCCATCTGGTCACAGTGGAACGAGGCCTTATTTCAGATGCTATTTTGAAGTGACTTGTGGATTGGGGGGGTAACCTCATACACCCTCTATTAAAATGGACTACATCTGTAAATGGACTTCATTCTGTATGTGTACACTCAAGTGCTTCAAAGAAGTCCTTCATCTTCCACATCAACAGGCTTCTGACCTCTATGGGTAGCGGAAGTTAGTGACTTATTTTCATGATCCCAAACATAAAAGGTTTAATAATCTTAAACCTGCAGCTTATATATTGATTCCCACTGGTTCAATGACAGCTACTTTGTTTGACCAGTAGGTGTTACTAGCCATTTTAATAAGAATTTAAAGCCAAAAGATTTGCACATGACAGCAATACTAAACAAAGTTTAAAATTGTAGTAGCTGCTTCAGGCATGTGTGGTCTCAGGATAAAAAGGATGCCTCTTGGATAAGAGAAAATTTTAATGCTGTAATATCTCAAGTAAAGTGGGGGCAATGTGTCTAGGAGGAGCCACGCATCACTGGCTTAGAGTCTGATGTGGACAGGGGAGGGTGGTCCTGGGTCAGAGATGCACAGCCCGTCCCACACCTACGGCAGACCTTGAAAAGCGGGAGCTGGAGCCATGGGATGGGGGTGTCAAAAGCTCAGATCTGCTGGCCAACTGAACAGTGTTGCTGAAGTTATAGAACAGACTAAGCTACATGCATGCTTCAGAACGAGATGCGAGGAGAAAACCAAGCAGGGGGAGTCACAACGAGAAGCATAAATGCTAAGTGATTTTTGAAACGAATCGCTAAAAATCCTTCAGCATAAAAATCTATTTTTTTTTTACTACAATCACCACAAATGTGCTTATAATTCGAATCTCCAAAACATCAACCAACCAACCTAGCTCCACCTCAAAATAAAAACATGCCGAAGGTCTGCTGAGTGAACGTGCTGGAAGGTGGTGCCCAGGCCAAGAATGCCTCTGTGTGCAAGTCCGTGTTGTGCACACATGGCCCGTTCTGACTTCTAAGTGTGTCTCTCAGGGAAAAGAACACGGCGTTCTCAGTCAGGAGTCTTTCCTTCCTGATGAGACAGTAAGTGTGACGCTCGTCCCCTCAGCCCGGCATCTCACCACAGCATTGCGTTCCACTCTGGATCGGATCTGATCAACTTTGCCTTCTATTACTCGAGGAAATATGGAGGAATCCGCTCCTTTGCAAAACAGATAAATTTCTCCTATAAAATGAAGGAAAAAAAAGATATTCGATTTAATCACAGTATGGGGAAGATAAATTATTTTTCAAATTATGCTATTATTAAGAAATGAAGACACGGATACCAGCACTGAGACGGTTGTAAAGGAGATTTTGATAGATCAGTTAACAAATAAGTCAGGAAAATATTAAATTACAGATTACCCCAAAGCCTCAGTTTAGTCCTACAACTCTAGAAATCTCATATGAAAGGAAAAAAACTGGCTCCTGGTGTCCTTCTTCCTGTCACATCTACCTTCTCTCTTGTTAGGATAGGAGTGAGGAATAAAATGACCCTGGGACCAGGAAGGGGAGTAAAAAAACTAAGCATGTGGCTGACCCCAAGTGGGGAAAAATTTGCTGAAATACTGGGAGGTGAACATCAAACCCTGTTAGAATGCGATACATCTCGACAAAGAACATGATATCCAGGTCGTCCTTTGCATCAGTAAGAGTTATAACAAATGTCTGTTTTATAATTTTTGCCCCACACCTCAAGCAATGTCTCAATTACTTTGCAGATATTTGTACTGCAGATGCATACTTCTCTTCTCTCAAGATAAAAAGATTTTCTCTTCTAGATAAGTAGAGGAAACTCTCTAGTATATGACAAAGGGGAAATTAAAGAGACGGAAGGCACCAGCTCTGAAACATCAAGCCCTTGGCACAGGGAGGCTCCTCCTCTTTCAGCAAAAGACCTTTTTTCTGGCCTGCAAAGCCATGAGGCACTTTGCCAGGTGGGTTTGTTTATATCGGGCTCATGGAAATCCCGTGGCAGTTTGTCATAGGGACTGCAGGGCTGGGAGAAGGGGCATGGCTACTGCGACCCACGATGTATTCTTAATTTGTCTCTAGACAGAAAGCTCGAATGCTGAGCTCCCTGACTCAGGGCTGATCCCTAAAAACCCTAGACCGTGATGGCCCTCAGAAGTACATCCTGGAAACCAAATCGAGAGGCACCAAGAGAAGCAGGGTATTGTTCCACTGCAGCCAACTCCCCAGGTGGAGCGGGTCAGGAGGGGCACACTCCTGAGGCAATGGCTAGTGAGACCATACCAGTTGGTCTGCACCAGGAACCTAAACAAGGGCTGGGGAACTCAGCTATGGAATGCGGAAGCCCCTTGGTTTATTTCCTTGATCCCAGAAAGAACTAACTCCTCTGACATACACAGAGTGAAAACATTTAAAACACAACACAAGTGATGCTCATACAAGTCCTGAAATTAAACCAAGGGTAACGTCAACCTATGGCCAGAAAGAATGGAGTCTAGTGATGTCCGTATCGTCAGCATACAAAGCTGAGCTGTGGCTAAGCAAAGGTTGAGAAAGAACTGGGAGCACAGCCCAGCCCCATTGAGCAGGAATCTACCAGAGCAGGAAGTATGATCCCCAGAAGACGCCTACGTGACCGCACAGGTGTGTGACCTGGGGTTCTTAGTCATATACCAAGCAGCCTGATGTCAGAATCCATTTCCGACTACCAGACATTTTTTCTAGCCAATGCTCCTAAGTCATCAGATACAGTTTAGAAGAACTATAGTCCAGACAAAGTAATGATACATTCTTGAACAATAACACTTTTTTTTTCCCTAAGAAAATCATGGATGACTCATGGTAATGGCTTGTAAATGGCTTAAGTTCCCCACTGTTTCAACTTGTCAGTTCCTCTATACCAACTTTAGACGTGGAACAAGTTCAGCCTTACGACTTGGGTGAGGAGATCCTTCGACATAAAAATATCCAGAGTATAAGGCAACATTTAATATGCAAAGGACTAGAGCCGGCAGTATTTGGTACCAGTTAGATCCTGCTTTTCTAGTTTTGTAAACAAGCAAAAAGTTACTAACCCAGAGTGGTGGCCAGATGAATGATGTGATAGTAACTAAAAGCAGCACACAGGTGACGTGATCCTAACCTACAGCAGCGCCCACAGGTGACATGATCCTAACCTACAGCAGCGCCCACAGGTAATATTATTGAAATCTATTGAGCATTCTGTGGGCTCAAGGCCCAGCTCTGATGACTGTAGCGCTGAAGAGCTCTTGGAAAGAAACACGAGTTGTTAACTGGCTGCAGTGGCTTATGGTCTCCATTCTCCCCTAACACAATCAACCCTCTGTTGGGTTATAAAACTAGTGCAATTAGTGTCATCTCTGGAGATGTGTTATAACTTAGAGAAAAACTTGTTGAATTAAATATTCAAACTTCTCTTAAAATTAATTGATGCAGTGGCTGGTTTAGATGGCATGGCAGTTTCCCTTGTAAGCCCGCAGTTCCTCAAAGATGTCTTCAGAAAAAAAAAATGTAGGCATCTCGTGGATGGGATATTCTAGTGATGTGAATGTCTTGGGCATAAATTCTTAATGTGATCTAGCTCCCTTTCAAGCTTTTGTGATGCCCTTTTTGATGGTAATGGAGGTTGTGTAAGAAGATTCCAGTATCTGTGACCACGGCAGTTCAAGAGAATGCACGGCCGGGCAGAAAGCTGTGGATAACAGACGCATCACTTCCTTAGACTGTGATTGTTACTGCAGACTCAGGAACTTTCTCTAAGCATGATTTAGCTCCTAGACTTCACTTTCGTAAGGGGAGAAAAATCATAAAACAAAAGGCATTAAATTTCCACAATTCTGACCTCTGTGGGTAGGCATTCCACAATTTAATGCCTTTCTTCTGTAATTTCAAATGGCTTAAATTCTCAGGAGAGTTCTTCATTAGTGTGCAGTGGGGTAACCTTCTGCACTTAGGCTAGCGTTAGCATATCTGAATTTGCTTCAAACATCATAGGGTGTATGCTTCCCGTGTCTTGCTGACCCTATTGGCAAAATGTTTCCGTGTGTATGCGCAGCATTTATTATAAGTTATTTTATGTCCCATGACACTCAGTGCAAGTTTTGCCGGTGGAGCCTGCTCTTGTCTACCGTTTTTGATAACTTGGTTTAGAGGGGTTGAAAGCCTACAGATAAGAAAACCAGTTCTGAGACACGTGGTCTCAACCCCTTGGAAAATGATGCACAGAGTGCTGCTGAAAGATAGGCCTACAGCAACCTCACAATGCCTTCAATGGTCTTAGAAAACAAGGTATTGCTGGTTCCATCAGAAAAAAAGCCAGAATAGCTCTACTTAATTCTCTCAACATGAGTGTTAGATATTGGCTGATGTAAAATTTCCCAACATGCCCTCAGATCACTATTTTAAGCCGAGTCTGTTTAGTTTCAGGGTAGTGGCTGCATTTGATTGCTCACCAGATAACTTTCCAAAAACGATAAACACAGCCTGGTATTGCCTAGTTTCCAGAAACAAAAAATAAGATCCCACATCTTGATAAAATGCCATTTTCAAATTGCATTAGTAAACTGAATTTAGCAGTATTTATTGAGCACTCAGTAGTAGTGGTGACTATAAGTTCAGCATTTAGGACACTTTCAGTCTCACTAGGCCGGAAGAAGAACCAGCAGCTCGTATGACTGAGGCAAGCAGGAAAGGCTTCCTAACCAGTTGGCTGTTGAGCTGTCTTTGGAAAAGTACAGACAAGCAAGAGGACCTCCTTGTGGAAAAGACCCAAACAGGCAGAGGGCCTTACAGGTGGAAAAGTCCACACCAGCTATAGGGACTCCAGGTGAAAAAGTCCTCGCCAGGTAGAGGACCTCTACATGGAGAAGTCCATGCAGTGCCCATTTGGGGGTGGCCTGGGATTGAAAGCTGGGAAGGCTGTTCAGGGACTCAATGCAAAGATCCCGGGGAGTGGCTGCCTGATACAGGACAGGAGCCCACAAGGCCCCAGCAGGGACAGTGAGCACACGAGGATCTTAAGAAGACCAACATGATAGCAGGACAATAGAAAGGGGGAGACTGCAGATGAGAGGCCTTGGAAGCAGGTGCTGTGTATAAAGACTGAAAAGAGGGAAATAAAGAGACACTGTGGAGACAGACTTTGCAGGATTTGCAGTCAAGAGGAAGACCAAAGGTAACTCAGCCCGCCAGCCTAAGGTCCCTGGGGGAGAAACAGGAGCGTGAAGAGCTGAGGAGTGATGTCACCTATAGTGGGTGTGAGGAGTTGTGCGGCTCATAGTGGGCATGAAGAGTTATGTGACCTGTAGTTGGTTCATCTATGTTTTTTTAAAAAGGAGACTAAATGGTTAAATTTGTAAAGCTCCTATAGAATGTAAGCATCAAATTAAAACACAATCACAATGTATACTTAAGGAAATCAAAAGAAAAAGAAATTTCTACCTGTAGTGGATCTTACAATTACACTCATTCTCCTCCTTACTGAGTCAAAACTCAAAATTTCCAGCAATTCGAACCTGAAAAAGAGATTAAAAACTGTTTTAATACCCATCTGGTTCTGTACGTCATGAAATCTGGGTGTTTATCAGTCTTTCCACAGCAGGATGCCTGGGGTAGTCCTCTCCCCAACCCATACACAGTCCTTAAAAAAAATCAGCTGCACCCACATCCTACCCCCATCTCACCCTGAAGGGCACCATGGTCGAGCAGCCCTTTCAAGGAAAAATCTAGAGGCTGGATAGTTTCCACACACATGAGGAAAAAGTCTGGATTCACGTGATTTGGTGATTCTGCTCCTCGCTGCTGGCAAGAGAGCCCCACAGGGGACAGACAGAGGAATAAAAATTCACCACTAAGACCTTCGCCTAGGACATCCACTCCCCATCCATCCCTCTGGTGCTCATGGAGTTTGTGCATCAAACAAACTATATTTCTTATGTGCTGATTCACTCTCCTAAATTCTGTGGAACACAGACCCACAGGTCGTAGCAGAGTTTTTGATCCCTGAGAATGAACCAGTGTCCTTCATATTGATAAAAATCATTAAAAAGGCAAAGAAGACTGATATTTAATCAGCATGTGCAGTCTTATTATCAGAAGATTCATGATTTCTGTCTGGCATTTGAAATATTGAAAATAGTTTAGCCACTCATGACACTATCTCTGAAAACACCTTAGGGTCTAGAGACCCTAGCTGGCAGCTCAGGGGTGACTCTGTCTCCACTCACAGCCTGGTGAAGGGGTTCAGAATATGCCTCCCCAAGATGTGCCACTTTGGCATTTGGATTACTTTGAACTGAAGACAACTGAGATCCTGTGGGCTCCTGAGAAACTTTTATGTCTCCCTTAAAGAATTTAAATTAGGGGCCTTGACTATAATAAGAGTTATCACCAGAGATAACATTTTATGACCTAGCTATATGGCAGGACAAACATAATTATTGAACAACTGCTCCTCTTATCATCCTGCAATGACCTTTTGCCCCTCTGAAGCCTCAGGGTTCTTACCCCATCCTTAGATCAGAATGTCACATGTATTTCGTTTTCTCTCTCTGTCCTCTGAACCTCTTATGCATGTGGGGTCTCTTACTCTCTCATGTACATAGAATTCTCATACATACATATGTAATTAAATTTGGTCACTTTTCTCTCGTTAATATGTCTCATTTCTATTTGATTATTAGACCAGCCGAAATAACCTTGAGGGCAGAGGGAAGTTTCTTCCTCCCCCGCACTGGTAAGAGGTTCCCTGTGAATTCCTCAGCAGCACTGTGTTATAATTTTAGTAGTGATCCCACCTGCCTTTTCAGTTGGAAACCAAAAGCTAATAGCAATATGTCATTCTACCTCCCAGGGGTGCCCTCATGGCTCCCAGGAAGCCCCCAGACCCGCAGGGAGTAGCCCCGCTACGCTAATCTAGGACCGAGCAGCCGGGTCCGGATTCGAGGGCTTCACCACTCCTACTAACTGGAGTTTATTTTTCCTAAGAACGAAATTTTAAAATCTAGTTTTCTTGAAGCCATCACCACTAAGTCTTGTTCTTTACCACCTGTGTTTACCTGTATCCATTATTGCTCATTGAATATTTATGTTATTTATCAAGGAGAGATGGACCACCCAATCTTCTGAGTCAAAACACAAGGTATACCATTTATCCCTGGGACCAGTAATTTTGGACAGACAGTCCCTACAAATTGAGAGCGTGTGGGCACTGAGATTTGAAAAGTGAAACCATCCAATGTCCAGCTGGTTATCCCAAGCATACTTCCTCATACTGTTTTCCACAGGACACTGGGCTCCATGACCTGGGAGCTGGCGCTGTGAATTCAGGAGTCCATGAAGAAGGTGCTTCCTTCTTCCCCTTCATGAAGAGTGAGGGAATCACCAAGGGAGTGTTAGAATATACTAGAAACTTTGAGAACTCTTAGAGTAAAACTTGATTTTAGGTGGCTTAACCAAAAACTTATTTGATGATGCAACATCATCTAACCAGCTTCTCTAAATGTCCAACTCTTAAATTTTCCAGATGTTTTGGTGACATTCTTGGGATTATTACTGAGAAGAAAAGGGAATGAGTTATGGGAGGAGTACACAGAATTTCATTTTCCCTCCATGAAAAAACCTTATAAAAATAATTTTTTATATTTACCATCTCAATTGAACATACAGTAGTATCTTACCTTTCAATGTCATTGTCCCTATTTAATATCTCCATATAATTGTCCTTTAGCCTTAGGTACGTAAAACCAAGTCTGCAAAGAAGGCAAATCTAGTGGTTAATTTTGAATTCCGATATTCCTCTTTCACAGAATATTTGTTTTACATTTTGGTAAAGTTTTCTTTTCAAAAAAAGAAACAATTTGGAAAAAACAGGTGTAACAAACTGAATTATAAATTTAGTAAATTATAATACTGAATTTATTCACCATCTCAAAAAATTCTCCAAGAATCAGCAGATTTCCTGACTTTAGCCCAGCCTCCTGAGAACCACAGCGATGAAGTGTATTCTTATTGGTCGGTATTAACGGGTTTCAGGGAGACAGCAGCGGGTCTGTGGATTGGTCCCCCTGTCTGTACTGACCCATTTTAATTTACTGATCAGTGGGATTGTATAGTAGAGGTTACATGTCTAAATCAGAAGGCTCATGAGAGACTATCTATCTCCAGTCCGACTCTCATTTTACTGATGAGGTCACTACAGCCCAGAGCAGGCAGCCAGTCAACAAAACGTCTGCAGAACATTTAATCTATAACACCCTTCTCCATTAGCACGCACGTAAGGTGCTGTGCAGGCATGTGCTGGGGGTGCAAGGAGGAAAAGGACATGGCTCCTGGACTCAAGGAGCTTAAGGATAACGGGAGGTGGACACATAACATTTTAATATAGCATGTAGCCATAATGGTACGAAGGCACCATGGAGCCACAGGGACAAGGTGTCTACCTGACCCAGACAGGAGCTGGTACGGCAGCTGAAGGAAAGGTTTCTTGAAAAGTGAGTCTAGAATGACACTCAGGAACAGCCTGTCCTAACTTCTGATAGCTATGATTGAATGTGAATGTGGTTTAGTTTCTGAGCACCTGTTTTCCAAGAAGAGAGAAATCTAGCTTTGAGAAATTGCCCCTATGTATGTGTGAATTTATACATTTAATAAAGGTCTGTAGTGATACAATTTACATACTTGATGTCACTATTCAAATTACATGGGAATCACATGTTAGCTTAATCAACAATAAAAACTGTTCTAATTAGATGAGAGGTGTTCAATGCCTACTTATCAATGGCAGCAAAGAGTGGAGGTTAGTGCCTTTAGTATTAAATTAGAATCATAAGGTCTGAGAATTGGAAAAAAAAATTCCCTGACTTGAAATTATGCCACATATCTGGAATATTTAAAGTATTTTTCCAAGTTTGCTTAAAATGTCCTATATCATGAGGCAGCAAGAACTTCCAATAAAAAGATCTTGAAGGAAGGGGCAAGAAGCATACAGATTTAATATGATAGGAGACAAAAAAAGAGAAGCTAACAGTAAGAAAACTCCAGCACCCCAGGTTAATCCCATTCCATGTGTGTGACCTTGGGAAAGTGGCTTGACATCTCTGGGCATCAATTCTTTAGGATGGATGAAAAGGACCTGTCCTAAGGGTATCTAAGATTGTTTGCATTTTTAAAAGGCTGTGATGATCTGGAGTGGCTTCTAACTTATCGTAGAGGTGAGGAGAAAAACTACTCACATAAGACAGAGTGATAACGACTCTGGCAGCTGAGAAGATGCTGCATCTAACACTGACAGCAGGTTGTGTTCAGGACGGACGCCCCTCCCAATGTGGGAGTTGAGGAAATACTGAGCACACAGGCAGAACCTGCTCAGCAACCCCTTAGCAAACATCTCAGGCACAAGGGGCTGATCCAGGATTCTTCCAGTAGGTGTCCATGGTTGGATTGAAAAAGACTGGGAAACCAGATTGGCACACCCCTCTCATCTGATCCCAGACCCGCGTGCAGTCAAGAGACGTACCTCTGGACACCCTCGACTAAGGCCACCTCATCAGGTGAGGACGATATGTACACACAGGATTTCCCTGAGTCTGGTGACTTTCTGGGCCCATCCACATCATCGTCATCTTTCACCTGGATGGTGTGGCACAGACAGATGGCCCGGAAAAACAGTTCTTCTCGCTCCTATAAAAATGTAGTACAAAAACCCACACATCCATGGCATGTCAACTTAAAGCAGAAGGAAAATCAACAGATGACAGTAAACAATAAAGCAGGACATGCAACTTTTAAGGGTTAGGAAGTATTAGATTTGCCTTTGGTGGTCAGGAGGTGGAGTGTAACTGTGGCTTTTATTCATTCTTGAGCACCTCTACAGTAATCACGATTAAGACCAATTTGGGCTATGAAAACTGAAAGGAAATGAATGTTTAGTGAGGTGAAGCGATGAGTTCAAGGTCACAAGAGGGTGGTGGGGCAAACCTCAGACCAGCTGAGACAGTGTTGCTGGGCCTCTGGGAGGCTGGATCCCCTCAGGATTCCGGAAAGCTTTCCCAGGGGTCCTGGGATGACACCATGGCTGAGGGGGGCCAAGAAAGGCTGGACTTGTATCACATGTGCCAGAGGGAGGGAGTTCTAGCAGGTGGCGGGAGGGTACGATGCCTGTGGAACACCTTATGCTCCTCCCCTCTGAGGCGGAGGTGAAATGGCAGTTTCTGTATCAAAATCACCTGAAGTACACATAACAGAGGGCACAGGGCACTTGGTTATAAAAAGTTGTCATGACACAGCCCACTAAGGCAGGCTATCCTTCGTACCCTAGGTGACCCCACACAAGGCTCTGCAGTCACCAAGTTTTCCAGAATGGTCTCCTGTATGACCAGTGATGAGGGTCACAGCCCACTCTTGGGATGCTGAGATCTGGAGCCACAGCACTTGGTGTGCATGTGTGTGTGTGTGCATCTACATGTGTGCATGTGAATCTGTGCACGCACCTGAGGATGTGTGTGCATGGGGTGTATCATGTGAATATGTGGGGCATGTATCTGTGAATGTGCATGCCTGTGTGCACACGTATGTGCATGCAGGCTTACATGTGTGTGCGTGTGTGTACATGTGTGAGCACATGCATATACGGTATGCAGGTCACTTTGCTCACAGCCCACTGTTTGCCTTGCTTGTCCACATTTTTAAAGTTGTTCCTAACACAATGTGACCAGCCAGATTCACCGGCAGGAAATGGTGGCATCTCACCATTCTTCTCACTCAAGTCGCTAGAAGATTTCATGTCTTTTCTGGATCCCAGAACAAGAGGTGGCACTAGGCTATCTTGTGAACTGGGACCCTCGGACAGTGGGGCAGTGTTGGCCCCTGAAAGGAAAACATCTGCTGGGAGAGCCACCGCCTACCCTCCCGCTGACGCCTGGGGAAGAGTCGATCATGTCGATGCCAGAAGCGCTGGGGAGGACCTGCCCGTTGCAGACGACGTGGGGCACGTAGACGTGGCCCTCGATGCAGCACTCCTTGAACTCCATGTTGTTCTCCGTGAGGGTGCCAGTCTTGTCCGTGAAGACGTACTCCACCTACAGACACAAGGCTTGGCTGGGTGGTGCTGGCCAGGAATTTGCTCGGCCTTCTCAGAGAGGGAGAGGAAGCAGTTTGCTGCCTCAGACCCCAGGGCGGCCGTGTTTCCTATCACTGTTTTCCATATGAAAGGGACTTCGACTGGTTTTATGCCAAACAAACTCCTTTCACCAGGCTAAACTATGAGCATGGTGGACCATCCATCCTCCCCGACAGAGCCTGGCTCAGGAGATGGAGGGGAGGCCTTTGTCTCACCAGAAGAACGGTGGTTTTACTTTCCTCTGGATGTGAAGCTCAGAGAATATAGCCTCGCAGTCACCTTCCTGTGGGTGGAAACACTGGGAGGAGCCAGCCTTCCATTTGTTGGAAAGATAAGTGATTGACCTGAATCTTATGTAACAAAAAAATCAAGAATATATATAGGATAAACTTTTCTATAAGGTCTGGGAGGTCAAAAATCACAACATCATTTAAGGTTTAGAAGATACAATTCAAACAAATAAAAGAACAGAACAAATTTCAGACTATAAAATTGTTAAAACTATGCTAGTTTTAATCCCTAAATTTAAATAAACTCAGGTTACGTATTCCTTATGGATAACCGATGGGAGGTGGGAAATTCCGGAACCCGTATAACATGGCGAGGGGAGGCATGTGCTTTCAGCTGTCAGAGACCCCGCAGGACTGAGGGGCGAGGATGTTGGGGAAGTGTTGAGCTCAGTGCCCCCAACACACATCTCCAGGACACAGGAAGCAGGTAGAGATTAAAATGATAATAAAGTACTAAAGTGTGGGAAGCAGAAAACCCATAATAAAACCAGCTATGTGTTTTTTTAGTGTGTCTTTTCACTTAGATCTCTCAGCAAAATGTTCTCTTTTGTCATAAATCCCACAGCAGAAGATGCCTTTTCCATGAGTGCTTGGTTCTAACAAGCAAATTACAAGTACAAAGTAGTGCCCTATGAATTTTTTTGTTAAACAACTTGCCATCTAAACGCTTACCTGACGCTCTGCTGAGCCTCTCCCTATGACCTGGCAAATCAGTAACATGAATAAAGTCTGAATTCGTGATTACTTCCTGCCACAGCCAGTTATGTTGTCTGAAGTGAACGAAACCTGACTTTTTTCAAAGTGAGTCTCTACCATAATAATGAATATTTCATAATGTCTCCTACTTTAAAACAAGCCTTTCCACAAACCTCTGGAGCTCTTGTGTTATAGTCATTCAGACTAGACTTAGTCTGAATCAGAAGAATTTGATGCACTGAATACTGTTCTCATTTTTTGTTGTTATAGGAAAAAATTATTTCCTTCATGAATTTCTCAGGAATACACAAAATATACCATGTATTATTGCAAAGAATATAAAATTCACAGAGGTAAAACTATTCTGGTACTGAACAACCAAATTATGATTTACGCATTGCTGACTGAGACAGTACTTCACCACGAGGCATGTGGGATGTCCTAGAGGAATGCATTGAAAGTCAAATCCGTCAACAAGCAAAATATTATCTTTTAGTAACAAATATTCTCAACCCTAGGGGATGAAAGCAGTATGTATCTACCAGAGTCTAACCATCTATTTACAGATTGCTGTTTTGGGGCCACGAGGGAGCAGATTTCAGCTACTAGTCTGGAATATCTCTGTCTGCAAAAATACATCTCAAAATTTCTTCCCGTTAAAAAAAAATAATCAATTGGTGTTTACCAAATGCCCTTTCCTGCAACATAAAAGCTGGGAAAAGTTTAGATTGGGGTGGCAAGAAGGGTCCCACTGAAGGCCAGAGGATCGAGGCAAGGTCAGGGGACAGGCCTCTCCCTAGCTCTCTTTTCCAAGGGAGAGGTTGAGTATGGGGTCAGATAGACCAGGGTGAGCCCAGGCTTTGCCCCTCATCCAGGTGATCTGGATGGCAAACAACTCCTACATGTGGCAGTTCCATTAGACACTGTGGTGGGCGCTTCAACCCCATTATCTCATTCAATCCCCACTACATTCTGGCAAAACAGGCACCTATTATTATGCCCATTTTACAGACTGAGCTTGAGATGCAGAGAGCTCCGGCCACCTGGCCCAAGCCATGCAGCTGTGGAGCAGGATTTCAATATAGATATTGTGAACTCTGCAATATAGTAGACTAAGACTATGGAATTCCCTGAGGTCGCACTTTGCTCATCTTTAAAAGGAGGATAACTAGCTCACTGTGAGAACTGAGAAGTAAATCAAGCTCCAAAGTCGAGTGCAATTCCTATGAAATACGTGCTCAATAAACGTTAGCTCATTTTTACCTTTTCGCCCCAACTCACAGCATTAAAACCCAGAACGAGTACCACTTCAGCCACGGATGAGCTTATATCAACCACAGTTAATGTAATTAACTTTGTATAACTTGTAAATACAAAAGCGCTACCATCATACAAACAAAGCTAAAAAAAAAAAGACTTTGCTGTTCTTGTTCACCAGGTAAAGGTTACATCTCTCTGCATGAATTAAAATGAAAAAGTTGTTATTTCTCCATCCTGATGATTTGCCTGCATGATACGAATCATTTAGAACCTAGATACCTAGGAACATAAAATGGAGGAACTCGATCGTCAACAGATTATGAAAGACAATTCAGGAGACACTGACCTGTCCTAACTCTTCGTTTAAGTCCGAGGTGTTAACCAGAGGCCCTTCCCCCATTTCCTCGTCAAACATTTCTTCATCCCAGGTGATGAAATACGAGCCAAGGAACTTCTGCATCTCCACCGTGACGTACATGGACACGGGAATGATGTAGTTAAACAAAACCATGAAGGCCAGGAAGTCTGTGAACGCCCTGAGAAACTGAGAGGACACTGTGATTGCCCGCACCCGCGCACCAACATCACCACCATTGAAAACTTAGGCATAAATTACACAAGTGCAATTTCGAAATACAATTATTTCAAATCCAAAGATGAAGTTTATTTGGGGATGGCGGCAGCCATCAGGTTACTTGCCTGTCACCTGATTTTAGTGCCATGACAGGCCTCAGGCCAGGAGCAGACCTGCACACCTGTGCTGTGGTGCGGTAAAGAGTAAGTCGCCTGTTAGACAGTCACACTCTCAGGGACAGGAGGCCTTCTTGACTGAGAGCCAGTAGGAAACTTTATATTTTGAGACTGACAAATGACAAATAACAACCTGATTTGGTAATAACCTAAAGATGCCAAAAAATATCATTCTGGTACAAATGATTTTTCAGTATAGTTTTGTCCTTATTTCCTAGCCATTTAGTTTTATGGGAGGCCCAACTGAACACAGGAAAGAAGTGTGAATGTCATCTGGATTTGCACGAACCCCATTCTGGACTCACTGGACCCTAGTCTAGATTTGTATTCAGCTCAGGTCTGCACTAAGTAGATACTGGTCCGGATTTGCAAACACTCTGTACCGAGTAGACACTGGTCTGGATTTGCACATGGCTCACGTCTGGACTCTGGACCCAGCCAGAAAACTGTACTGTTTCTTCTGTTTTGTTTTGTTTGTTTGTTTGTTTTTTACGCCTACAGCACCTGATCTTCCTAGGTGGTCTCTCATCCAAGTACTAACCAGGCCTGGGCCTACTTAGCTTCCGAGATCAGACCGGATTGGGCTTGTTCGGGGTGACATGGCCATAGACAAAACTGTACCGTTTTAAGTAGAGGAGTTTCAATCAAACTATGTTAACATGCTGGTTGGGGAAAAATACTTTTGATAAACATGGGCAACTGAATGGAAATCCCCCTAAGGAAAACTGAAAGCAATTCTTACCCTAATTTCCATATAATTGAGATTCCTTTATTCCATATACTTACCATTTATCTCACATCATTAATGAGCACTGAGCATGCTCTAAATGTGGGACACTGCGCTGGGTTCCAGAAACACCAAAAGCATTTAAGGTGTACCCTTATGAATTTACTATGGGAACAAATATCTTTCCAGACTTGTATATTCAAATACTCCAAAACAGGCAAGAGCAACCGGTGTCTACAGCTAGAGGCAATTACTACCTCCGATATCAATGAATGCATCTCATACAAAGATTTAACCAATCACAACTTCATCATGTTCTCATACCACATTTTCACAATGACGGCCTACAGAGCATTCAATCGCTAGAAAGGAAATCACTTTCCATACCAGGTTCCTCTGTCTTTCTGATTCGGTTTTCTGATTATACCATGGCTCATCTCGGAATGGTTCACTCTGCCATACATATTTCAGGACAGTATTTATCAGTGCTTTACTGATTAGAATGCAGAGGTACACAATAAGGAATACATTCATTGACCTAAAACACAAGACAATGATGGTTACTTAATTTTTGCTCCCCAAAGAATCTAGAGCTGTGCATCATATGGCAAGATGAAGAAGCAGACTAGAAATAGCCCAGCAACAACTTTTAAAGAATTCTCTCCCAATTAATTGACACAGTACAGATAAAAGTGCAAGCTTAGCTCTATCCAAGTCCACTCTGTGGTCACTGGTGTGTGATTCTAGAGGCCACAAAGAGCTAAGTAAAGGAAAAGTTCTGTAAGCAGGAGAGAGAATTCTATATAACCGCATTACTGACGAGAGTTTCTACACTGGCTAGAAGTCTATCATTTAAGGAACATCCAGAAATCAATTTCTTCTAGCATTAAGCATCAACCTATGAGTTTCAAATTTAGGAAGGAGAGAAGGAAGTGAACACTAAGGAAAATGCCCTCTGTGTAAGAATAGCGCTGAATCCTTAGCTAATCAATGTCTTAGCAGATCTTATGAAGAAGGTGTTACTTTCTAATATCTATTTATGAAACCTATTTTTCAGTGTAGACATCTGGAAACAAAGCATTCCTG